CTGAAAAACATTGGCTCTTCTTCCCTCACCCCCTACTGAATCTTACATGGGGGAACCCTGAACATCCCTAATTGAAATAATAAGAAGTTGTTGGATTTTCATTTGTCTGAAGTGGAATGGGGTTTCCTGCGTAAGCAGGGGGTTGGACTAGAAGACCTCCAAAGTCCCTTCCAACTCTGTTATTCTATTCTACTGTAAATTCAATTGAATTTGAGAGTTGAATTTTAAGTCGAACATGGCTTGATGCCCATGTACCTTCAGAGTCATCTGCTTATTATTTCAATTAGGGATGTTCAGGGTTCCCCCATGTAAGATTCAGTAGGGGGTGAGGGAAGAAGAGCCAATGTTTTTCAGTCATGGTACCAATCCCTTTAGAACAACCCTCCTTCCCCTCCAGATCTCTATGACATCTCTTCTCTGCTGACATTTAGAAAGTGGTTAATATTGAGGGTTTCACAGAGCTTTTAAATGGTCAAGCACATGGCTGGAAGGACTGTGAGTAATGCTTCTAGCCTTGTGGAATTTGAGTTATTGATGTCTCTTGTTCTCGTGGTTGAGTTTAATTTCTATTATAAACCACTAAGAGTCTTGAAGGAGTATGGTGCTTTTATAAATACAGTTAGTGAATAAGTGAATTTGTGTAGGCAGCAGCCTCAGGGCAGCCATTGCCACTGCTCCTGTCTACGTGTCTGTTCAGGATAAAACGTAGCTTAAAGTGAAAAAATGCTTCTTTCTTTAGGATGCTTCATGCCCAGTACGGCGAACTGATTCAACCCAGAAATGGTTCCGTTGATGAAACCCCCAAAATGTCAGCAGGCCAGATGTTACTGGTAGCATTTGATGGCATGTTCGCTCAAGTGGAAACAGCATTTGGCTTATTGGTTGAAAAGGTATAGATTTGCATGCAATTTTTTTTGGGGGGTGTGTGTGGAGTCCTTTTGAGTCAATCTTGTCTGCTGGTGATTACATGGATGAGTCCCAGCAATGTTTTGTTTTCCCAAAACAAGTTTGCCAATTTCTTATTCCTAGGGTTGAGAGAGAGTGACTGGCACAGTCATCCAGCTGGTTTTATGCCTAAGGCAGAGCTGCTGGTCTCCCAGTTTCTAGTGCTTTTAACCACCCTAGCATCCTGGGTCTCAGCAAGACTTATTAAAGTAGGTATGAGGCAAGCTAACTTTCTGCTTAATTTAATTGTCCTACAGCTAAACAAGATGGAAATTCCTGCCGCCTGGCGCAAGATTGATATAATCAGGGAAGCCCGCAGCACTCAAACAAACTTTTTTGATGACGAGAACAACCGGCAAGTCTTAGAAGAGATTTTCTTTTTGAAAAGGCTACAGACAATAAAGGAGTTTTTCAAACTCTGTGGCACTTTTTCTAAGACTCTTTCAGGTAAATATGTAGGGGTTTTTCTTAATTTTTTTCTTCCCACTACAGACCTGCTTAAATAGCAGTTCTTGCCTTGGGCTTTTGAATAATAAAAAAGCAACTCGGAGGCAAATATTACTAACTTTAGATGGGAAAAAGTAATAAGAAAATTGGTGTCATGGTAATGACGATTTAATAGCTGACCGGCTGCTGTAAAGTTGTAAACCGAGATGTTGACATGAGGATGAGCCAGCAGGGTTACTGCCACTTTAAGAAGGTGTATATATAAGGGAGGCCGTGTGAGGGCATCTCTCTCTGGACTGTTGTGCCACCGTGGCTCATAACAACCCCAGTGACCCACTTAACTACTGTGGCAAGAAAGGTTATAAAATGGGGCAAACTCACTTAACTGTTTCTGTTTAGCAATTGTGGTCGTAAATGGAGTGTCAGCATTCCAAATATCATCCACAATTAAATCAGAGTCCAAGGCAGAGCTTTCCTCAAAATTCCAATTTATTAAAAGACACATGTTGGTACATCTGTGGAAACCCGAATCTGAAAGCTTCCCAGAGTTCCCACCCAGTTGAAAGTTCACGATCTTGTCCCCATACCCACAAGCCTATCACATGGTCCAATCTTCCACTGCCACGCTGGCATTTCCACCCATCTAGTTCCGGTCAGGTGCAGAGGTGCGGAGACAAAGGATGAACCTTGTGCTTCTAGAAAGGAATTTTTTATTTTGAAAACAACACATTCTGCTCCTTACTATTCCTCCCTCCCAATTACCCCACTAATGAAACAGCGTAATAAAATAAGAGAGAGTGTGGCAGGCCAAAGATCCTAAAAGGAATAGGACTGCGGGCCTGACATGGAGGATCACCCATACTCTCCCATTATGATGTCTGCTTGATCTAAAACATCACCATTGTTGGCCCTACCAACAAGGTTTTGGGGATACACTTGTTCTAAAGGCGTCACCCTATTTCTCCCCGCCCCTTCCTCCTCCTCCCCCAGGTATCAATTCCATGGAAGATCAAACCACTGTGAATGGACCGGTGCCCATCGTCAACGTGAAGACCTTGTATCGGAATTCTTGCTTTAGCGAAGACCAGATGGCCAAGCCAATCAAAGCTTTCACCGCTGACTTCGTCCGCCAGCTTTTAATCGGCCTGCCCAATCAGGCTCTGGGACTCACCCTGTGCAGCTTCATCAGCGCTCTGGGGGTGGACATCATCGCTCAAGTCGAAGCCAAGGACTTCGGAGCCGAAAGCAAAGTCTCGGTGGACGATCTGTGCAAGAAAGCCGTGGAGCACAACATCCAGATCGGCAAGTACTCCCAGCTGGTGATGAACCGAGCCACCGTACTGGCCAGTTCGTATGACACGGCGTGGAAGAAGCACGACCTGGTCAGGAGGCTGGAGACCAGCATCTCTTCATGCAAGACCAGTCTCCAGAGGGTGCAGCTGCACATTGCCATGTTCCAGGTTGGTATGAATAGAAAATAATAGAATAGAATAGAAAATAGAATAGAAAATAGAATAGAAAATAGAATAGAATAAGAGTGTTACAATACAATACAATAGGAGAGTTGGAAGGGACCCTGGAGGTCTTCTATCTAGTCCAACCCCTTGCCTAGACAGGAAACCCTACACTATTCCAGACAAATGGCTATCCAACATCTTCTTAAAGACTTCCAGTGTTGGG